TGTCTCTCTCATTTATCTGCTTCCATAGTGAGGTGAGTTTGCTAAAAAATGATCAAAGCTTTGTTGTGCATCACGGTGCCATGAGGACATTTCAGTGCTTGAATCTATTGGGTATTGTTGTTAATATTGCATTTCTTCAGGTAGGCCTTCTATGGATGCGGTAAAAATAGCTGGGCAGCAGATGACATCTTTGGAAGTTTGATGCCAGGGAAAATATGCCAGGGGCTGGATTGTATTAGACATGTTCTGTACATATCCTCTCCCTCTAAAGCAGGGATGTCAAACACATGGCCCATAGGCCAAATTTGGCCGGTGGAGCTATCTCATCTGGCCCACTAGGCTACTGGCAGGCTACTGAAGTTGGGGGCAATGTCTGCTGCAGAAGTCAGAGTGCCTGGACCCTGATAGACCCCAGCAGAGCTCCGCTTGCACCGCTGGACCTGCTGCTGGAACCACTGGACTCACTATCATTGTAGCTACAAGTTTTGTAGCTCCAGCCCATGGCCTGCAGTGAGTTTGATACCCCTGGTTTAAAGCATTATTACTTTCCGGAGAGGATATTGGGTTAGATGGACCATTGGTTTGACCCAGCATGGCGGTTCTTATGCTGTTATGTTCTCAACCATAACTTAAATGCAGAGGGGGTCTCATTCTTATTTCATAGACATTAGACATCAGGGCTGGAAGGGACCTCAGCAGATCTTCCAGTCCAGCCCCCGGCCCCAGGGGCAGGAAGTCAGCTGGGGTCGTGGGATCCCAGCAAGATAAGCCGTTTGCATTTTTCACATGCAAAGAAAAAAGCCCAGGAGTCCATTGCTTGATACTATCTGTGAGACAGCTTTGATTTCCCCATCGAGTTCAGTATTGTTATAAAGCATGGGCTGTGTCCCTGGCCCATGCCAAATGAGTGTTGTTTATGGCTACAAAAGATAAGAAAAGGGCACCCTTCTCCCATGGCGCTTGGCTCCAGCAGCTCCAGGACAATGATTTGTGTGAGCATGCCAGAGGAGAGAGAAAATCCCGACTGCACAAGGTATGGCTTTAGGATACAGAGGGAAGAGAATCATCCTTGATTGTTTCCAGCTTTCCTACCCCTTTGCCTTCACGTAGATTGGAGCGGGTCAGCGGGTACTCATGGTGTGTTGTAACTGTGCAAGATCCAGCTTGATTTTGGCGCACCTGTGATACCTTCTGGCACAAGGGAGATGCTGCCTGATCCTCTAGTCTTTGGCTTCTGTGCTTGGTCAACCACAGCACAATCAGCCCCAGTGGTGGCTATAACACCAATTGTAATCAATTGTACTGTCTGGATTAAACCTGGGCTGGTGCTTGGCACAGGCAAGTGCCACAAAGCTAGGAGCTGGCAGGCATTCAAGACAGGAATTAGTGCTCTATACCCGCATCTTCCCAATGCCACAGAGACTGGACACACAGTGAACCTTTCACAAGGGTCTAGGTGATGGCAGACCAAAATCCGACTTTCAGCACCAACTTGGGATGTAGGTTCCTAAAAGTCATGAACTCTGTGAAGAATAGGGACATTTCTATACCACTTTGGCATCCCTAGTACCACACCAGGGGATTCCAGTTCAAGGCAAGTCAACACAAGTTGACAAGTGGGCCACCTCATGAAACAGCAGTGTTGGTTCCCACATCAGTGTGATGCCAGGCACCCAACAAGGAAACCCACTAAAGAACAGGTTTCCAAATATATTTAGACACTCAAAAAGGCTAAAAAGTGCCTACAAGAATTATACTTGAGTTTTAATGAATTTTGAGAGTTAGATACCTCATCTGCTTAGATACCTTTGGATACACCTGTCAGTGTCTATGTACATCTTACCCACCTAGGCAGCTTTGCAAATCTGGCTTCAATGATGCTTGAAAATGGGATGTAGGCTCCTAAATCACTTTGGCATTTTTATACAATGGGATCAACAAAATCCTATATCCTGGTCTGGATTTCAAGTTTTCTGAACTTCCAGGGCATTTGGGTTTTAAGGTTCTGCTTCATCCATTTTCGAAAGAGGAGATTGTTGCAAAATTTTGCTCTAGGTTGCACCTTCCCATGTCTAGAGGTGGTTCAAACCCCAGGTGAGAGTACAATCCCATCCCTAGAATTTCCTACTGCCGATCCTTTGAAAGCAGAAGAGGGGTTCTCTTTCTGTCTACCTTTAAACCTTGAAGCTCTGGCTTCATGAAGCTGACCCTTGGCTACAGAAAGGTTCCCCTTGAAATTAGTCCAAATGACTGCTCTCTCAGATCAGGGGCTCATTGTTCAGCAGCAAAATCATCCTCTGATAAAGAGTTCAGAGCATGTTAATCCTCAAGAAAATACAAGAGAAGAAAGCAACCGTCAGCTTGCACACCTGCCCTGGGTGCCCTAACTCACCCCCCTGCAGAAAATATGATTGTATTATGTAAAAGCAGCATCACGCAGGCAAAGATTGCAAACCAAGCACTCATACATTATCACTGCCTTGCAGGTGTGTTATGCTGAGATGCAGAATGGTTACAAGTGAACTCATTGCTCCTAGGCAAATCAAACCCATGAATATTCAACATAAATGTTCCCAGTCTCATGCAACCAAGTCCAGATCTGAAATGAACAGATGAGGTAATTACCCCTTCTTTCTTGTGAGCAAAATTTAATGAGAAATGAAGAGGAATTGTTTTCCTGCACACTTTTTGTGGTTTTAAGGTTTTGCCATGGTATAAAACAAATAAATGGTGGATCATGTTGGTACAAAATTCCAGTCAGGTGGGCTTTCCGAATGAACTGAAGGGAATTGGCTGCCCAACTCATGTTTGTCATGGGCACCACTGGAATGTGGGTGGTCAGGGTTTGACACTAGAGAGTCGCAAGCCAGGGAGTCAGGAATAGGTAAGGCCAGCAGCCAAGCAGAGGTGCATCTGAGGCCTGTATTGAGTAGCCTGAGAACGCGCCTCTGCAAATAACTTGGATCAGCTCGGGGTAACTGGGCTGCCAGGTGTCAGGGCCAGTTGAAGGTCAGTCAACTTGCTTATGATCCTGAGGCCTCATAAAATAGAATTTCCCCTCCCTTTGGAAACAGCCATTGTAATGAATAAGTTATCCTTGAACCAAGTTGCCTAGGGTTGATGTCCCTTGCAATATATATGATGAGGTTATGCTGTGTTCAGTTGGTGTTAAATTGCCTTATTTCTTGGATACCAGTTTCAGGAGCTCCAAACCACAGCTTTCAGGCATGATGATAATCTCAAAAGCACCAGGAATGAGATAGCAGATGTAGAAGGAGAGACCCAGGGAAGGGGGGGAAACCCAAGGGTGACCCTTTTCTACAACTTACTTCAAGTGGACTGTGGCATTGATGCCTGCACAATTGGATGGGTAAAAAATTGGCTGATGGGGTGCACCCAGACAGTAGTGGTGGACGGGTTGTACTCAACCTGGTGAGATGTGAGCAGTGGGGTACCCCAGGGCTCGGTCCTCGGGCCCGCACTGTTTAACATCTTCATCAGCGACTTGGACGAGGGGGTGGAAAGCACGCTGTCCAAGTTTGCTGATGACACTAAGATGTGGGGCGAGGTGGACACACTTGAAGGGAGAGAGAGGCTGCAACTAGATTTAGACAGACTACAAAAGTGGGCAGAACCTTGTCATGCATCCAAAGGTGCATCTCAAGCCGGTCCAGAGAGGTGAAACTCCCCCTCTATGCGACTTTGGTCAGGCTGCAGTTGGAGTACTGCGTCCAGTACTGGGCACCACATTTCAAAAGGGATGTGGCCAGCCTGGAGAGGGTTCAGAGGAGGGCCACCCGCTTGGTGAGAGGGCAGCAGGACAGGCCCTACGAGGAGAGACTGAAGGACCTGAACCTGTTCAGCCTTAGCAAGAGGAGGCTGAGGGGGGACCTGGTGGCTGCTGACAAGCTCATCAGGGGAGATCAACAGCAAATAGGCAGAGCCCTTTTCTCCCCAGCACCGCCTGGGGTGACGAGGAACAATGGTCATAAGCTGATGGAGAATAGGTTTAGGTTAGAGATCAGAAGGCAATATTTTACAGTTAGGGTGGCCAAAATGTGGAACCAACTTCCCAGGGAAGTGGTTCTCGCCCCTACCTTGGGCAAATTCAAGAGGAGGTTGGATGATCACCTGTCGGGTCTTGTGAACCCAGCATTCATTCCTACCTGTGGCAGGGGGTCAGGCTAGATGATCTGTTCAGGTCCTTCCTGACCCT